GGCTGATGATGATGATGATGACATTTCGGACTCTCAAACTATTCAAATTCGATATTGGTTTGTGCTAAGGGCACGTTGTCATACTAGTCCTACAATCCGAGTAGTCAAAAAATCAACAGAAACTACATCCATTTAGAAACTTCGTTATCGTTAGAAACTATTGCAATAGGTACGTACGCATTAATACTATCACGCTTATTTACAACGTGCTCTGTGTGTATAAAATGCCACATTACATCTGGGTCGACCCTTTTGCCGACCACGTATTCTAATTATAAGCACATAGAGTCTACAATGGCTCGATTGTGATGTGTTTAATTGTCTGGTGTTGGTCGGTCGATGCCTTGGCGCTTCGGCAGTAGGCGCGATAATTATGCCTGTTATTAGATCCATCAATTGGTTTCTGAATGTAAGTTTAGTTTAACATTTTTCAAAATAAAAGCGAAATGCTTTTATTGACATCAATGATATAGTACTAGTATTTTCGTTGTCGGTTTTTCCTAATCTATTTTCGACTTTGGTGGAACGGCATGTAAACAAGTTTTAAAGACTGGAATTTGGTTTTATTTTTAGATATTTGGTGTTAGATGGTATCTATGGAAAATAATAAGTATTCCTTTTTTATTCACATTAAATATTTCGTTAGTATTGTGCGGACTTTAAAAACAGAACCGGAGTTTCGTTTTGTTCGTATTTAGGTCAACAGTTTAAATGAGCTGGCTGACAACATCACTGGCACACTTATTTGTGGAACGTTCCCATCGCCACGATTGGTCCTTAAACTTGGTCGTACAACGAGGTCATTGTACGTTAATTAACTTTTCGTGTTGTTTGATTCCTTTTTAATGAACTGGTTTAAAAGAGGAATGACAAAAGACCCTTATCATCTGCCTAAAAATGTCAACATTTGATACCTACACGCCTTCCTCCGATAGACTAGGAAGATTGTGCCGTGACCACCAATCCGCACTGGGCTAGCTCGGGTGGGCCCTAGCTAAGGTTGCTAGATGCTGGCTTACAAATTCCGGGACATTTGACCCCCCTGAAAAAATAAAGCATCAAATCAAACCTCCCATCACCCCCCAGAAATGAGAACATTAAGCAGGCCCAGCGGTGTCATACGAAACTATCACATAATCGGATTCCAGGACAAAAGATCTAATTACTGGACACGGGGCAAGATGCAAAATTCCAGGATAATCCCGGATTTCCCGGCCATCAGGCAAGCCTAGTGGGTACAGACGACTGCAGCAAATGCAGCCGGAACCAACACTTGTGCGGCAACACGATGTGCCATCTGAACTTCTGAAGCACGGAGTACTACTCTTCATTCCTTTCTTTGCCCCCTTAATAAACAATCTACTATTAAACAGACGACTGCAGAAAATGCAGCCGGAACCAACACTTGTGCGGCAACACGATGTGCCATCTGAAGCACGGATTACTACTCTTCATTCTTGAAACGCTTAATGAAACTATTAATTGACAAAGTATACTAAAATACACAAGAGTTCCTTAGTGACACTTCCTTGAAAGAAATGGACATAATTACGTAATTAACTTATATTTTAGTCTATTATAGCACAATTTATTATTATTATTAGTTTGACATATTGCTTAGTAATTTTGACATTTAATTCTATCTATGACTTGTTTTATTGAAATTGTAATTTATTAATATGGATTTTTATATAATTGTAATTGTAATTATTTCATAAAAAATATTGTATACCTTGTAATAAGGTCGAAATGTAGTGACACTAAACTTTTATCCTAACACCAATTTGCTGTACTAACCTACATTTCACAATAAAGCATTTGAATTTGAATTTGAATTCATTCCTTTCTTTGCTCCCTTAATAAACAATTTACTTTTAATTCATTTTGTTCATTTTGTCAAACAGTTGGTTAGAGAAGTATGGTATAGAAGTTATAATAAGAGCGCGACTGAGGAAGTAACCTTCACCAACAGAAGACCATAGTTAAATAACACTACCTTTTGAGGTGTTGAGTTTCTGACGGTGGAAAGGTTCTAGGTCTCCACAGGACCCAATCCCCTACGATATGGGTAGGCAACGGTGCGAGTGATATTTTAGATATTGCAAGCGTCTGGAGGACATGGTGGCCATTTACCATCACGCGGGCCATACGCTCGCATATATGGAGTGTTAACCTCCGAATTTTACTTGCGCGATTTAGGCTTCCATACGTATTGATCGCAACGCCGGTAGCGCCATCTCTTGAGGAGGCGAGGGCTATTTCCTCCATGTTGATTTATATGTGGAGCATGTAGATATCGCCACCACACGCTTGTTTTTCACTCTTTTAACATAAAAAAAGGATGTTGTTGCAAGTGAACATAATTAGTTAAGGTACTGTAACGCCCGTTGCGTTACGGCCTCCTTGCTTGTGTAAACTCTTTGCTCATGTAATGCCTACGGCTGGCAGTTACATTAAAAAGTAAATGTCATTATTTTAAAGATTTGAATTCGGGAATCTTTTGTCTCTTATCACAGATAGAATTCAGACATACAAGCGAATACTTGATAGTACGGATTTCTTGTAATTCGCTAACATTTTGAAATAAAACAATCAATAAGAATAGGGATGATGACTATTGTTTTTTTCTTCGTTTATCAGGTAGATTATCAAAAAGTATTGGACACGTATTTTTTCTTTTTCACATAATATAAACATTGCAGAGATGTATTGATTTGAAAAGTCGCATGACGTCACGTTTGAGTACACTTATAAGTGAAAATTCACTCAAAAGTGACGTCACGAGTCACGAGGTCCTACTCCCAAACTTTGACGCGCTATAACTTTGTCATTTTTTGGTTGATTGCCCAAAGAAAAAATACGTGTCCATTATTTTTTGATCATCTAATTGACGGACTAAATAGAATTTCGTTTACTGTACCCCGTCATTACCCCTATTCGTGGTTATTATTCAGAATCAGAATTGAACAACGCTGCGTTCCCAGGCCTATCCCTTCAGGATAAAGTACCACAGTTGTATTTAACAAATTCTTTCCTTAAAGTTTCGTTTAGAGATGTTAAAACTGGTAAAATTTTATTACAACTTTTTATAGGTATCTTCCTGCGGAGGTTTACGAGTTTAATTAGCATCCTAATAAAAACACAAATAGGATTTATCCAAACCAAACAAGCGGCTAACTTTAGATATGCTATCATAAAAATATATATACCTAGATACTAATACCAATGACCTTTTGTAAGTCTCGAACTTTTCTCCAATCAGGAATCGGTTCCGTCTAGATAGGATCGATAACCTTCGTGAAACTGTACGATATAATACTTTTACCATGCCACATTGATGAATGACTGAAGGTTATTCAATGAAGACAATGGCTTAGTGACAGGTTACCAATAAATTTGTTTTGCTAATTATGTTTGAGCTCGCTTTATGTAGATTCTAGTCTGTCCATATTAAAGTCATGTGTTCAGCAGCAGCAGTGGACAGTAACTTAGCGTTAGTTTTAGCCTTTTTGAAGTTATACTTCTTTAGACGCGTTATGAAAAAATGATGAGAGTGAAATTTTTAGATGCGCGCGCATCACTGTAACACAATAGTAACACCATGAAGTTGGCCGCGGGCGCGTTATGAATGTTAGTGTCTAATAATGGTGGATTATTAACCACTTAGTGGTTAATAATCCACCATTATTAGACATCTGTTCGAAAGGTACTTTGAACGATCCACGGAGCTCCATAAGATGATCGCGTTGTCAAAAACAATGTTGGCACGCTCGTCGCCTCTGATCACTGTTTTCATATTTATAATATTTATCCACATGTTTCTAGTTTCTATATAGACACAACGTGTTTTAGTTACTTACAAGTGCTAATTTCATATGGACTAATAACTTAATTCAGTAGTGATTTTAATTGAATATTTTGAATATTTATTTAATTTTTCAAATTAAAACTGAACTTAATTGACTGTGTTAACTATCCTTTTCCAGTCCTTTTATTATTTTATTGTAATTATTAATTATTTGCATGCAATTAAAAAATATTTTTAATGATGCTAAAGAAGTATAACTTCTCACGCGCGTACATAAGTTACACGCATCCATTTTTTAGTCTGAGAATGTTTTCATTTAATACTAGTGGCCGCTAACTTTACTTTTTTAACTCTCATTTCTCATTTCACTCACTTTTCCGGGATAAAAAGTAGCCTATGTCTCAATGCAGATCATAAATATGTAGATACCAAATTTCATCCAAATTCTTTTTTGTAGTTTTTGCGTGCTTGAGTTAAATGCCAGCATGAAATTTCGCAGTCCCTTATTTATACTTACCTCTTCGCCTTTCCCATGGCAACTGTCATATTTTCTGTAAACTAGATCCGCCAAATTGACTGAAAATTGGCCTAAAAAATAATGAAAATGTCCTAAGTTTCGCATCATCCAAATACGGATGCTTATGAAACTCCTGCAACATAAGAATTTAACATTAGCGAAACTTCATATAAACAAATATTTTTACACTAAAATCATAAAACATTTCTTTGGCGCCAGAGGGGGGATAATTTGGCGGATCTCCTTTGTCGAAGGAACGCAGCCTTATAAGTCTAAGAAAAAAAATACAAAACAACCTGCAAATACAGGGGGTCTAGGCTTCGAATATGATTTTGTCCCATTCAGTGTCGAGACCCTTGTTCCTTGGGGGTCCTAGCGCTATGAGGTTTTTTAAGGAAATATCAAAAAGGTTAGTCGACATCACTGGAGACCGAAGAGCTGGCAGCTACCTCGGACAACGAATTAGTCTAGCCATTCAAAGGGGGAACGCTGCCAGAACCTTGCCTAAAGGGACTCCTTTTAGTAATATATTTTAGTTATTATATTATATTTTTTAAGGTTTTTAGTTTAAGGTTCATTGTTCCTGTATATATTAATGTACATATATTTAAGTTGTACTGAATTCAATATATTTATTAGGTATAAACAACATTATGGTGATGTGATGTTTTCCAGATGGAGATCATGGGTCAGAGCGTTTTTGAGTTCAGCCACCCGTGCGATCATGAAGAGGTCCGCGACGCGCTGCGTTCTAACTTCGCGGGGCGGCGCGAACTACTTCTGCGGCTCAAATGTACGCTTACGAGCAAGGGAAGGAACGTGCATCTCAAGTCCGCTTCGTACAAGGTAATTAGAATTTTGTAGAATAATATCAAGAATAGGTGCGCGATGCACTGTGTTCTAACAAAGCTGCTTCTGCGAGTCAAATGTACGCTCACCAGCAAGGGAAGGAACGTACATCTCAAGTCCGCTTCGTACAAGGTAGTTAGAATTTTGTAGAATAATATCATGCATAGGTACGCGATGCACTGTGTTCTAACAAAGCTGCTTCTGCGAGTCAAATGTACGCTCACCAGCAAGGGAAGGAACGTACATCTCAAGTCCGCTTCGTACAAGGTAGTTAGAATTTTGTAGAATAATATCATGCATAGGTACGCGATGCACTGTGTTCTAACAAAGATGCTTCTGCGACTCAAATGTACGCTCACCAGCAAGGGAAGGAACGTGCATCTCAAGTCCGCTTCGTACAAGGTAATTATAATTTTGTAGAATAATATCATGAATAGGTGCGCGATGCACTGTGTTCTAACAAAGCAGCTTCTGCGAGTCAAATGTACGCTCACTCGCAAGGGAAGGAACGTGCATCTCAAGTCCGCTTCGTACAAAGTAACGTATTCTTTAGCTAACTGCTCCGATGCTGCAAGCGTTTCTTAGAATAATATCATGAATAGGTTCGCGTTAGCTGCGTTCTAACAAAGTTGCTGCTACGAGTCGAGTGTACGCTCATCAGCAAGGGCAAGAACGGGCATCTCAAGTCCGCTTCGTACGAGGTCACGTGTTCTTTAGGTAACTGCTCTTAGCACATCGGCAAGTTAACTAAAAGCTGCCCATTCTTGCTGGATTCTCCTCTCAGTCTCTCTTCTCTGGCCATCTGTTGCGAGCGTGATAATCTGACCCAAGTACACACGATGACTCCTGTGGGTTGCCCGTGTACTGTAGTATGCTTGTGTAATGGTAGACATACACACTACGAGAAATCGTTACGATTAGACTGTACAGTCCGAACGGTACCGATAAATTGTAGCGTGTATGTTATAAAACTGCACAGTTTCCTATACGTACGCCACGTACGATAAACTGTTCCATTCGAACTGTACAGTCTGATCGTAACGATTTTTCGTAGTGTGTATGGCTACCATTAGAAACCCCGCGCGTAACCAAATTTTGTTTGTTTCTTAGGTTTTCACGAACATCACTCATTAAATAAAACTAGTTTTAACGAGTTGATGGACGAAACTTTATTTATTTATTGACGTTTCGCAGCCTTTTCAGGTCTGCATCGTCAGTGTAATGATTTTTTATTTAATTGCGTCGAGCTACCTTCGAAAGAATTTTATTGAGCGTTCGGTTATTTCATTGGATTTTTTTTTAATTTTGATTGTCTATGTATGAATTTATTAGTTAATTTAGTTAATAAAATACTTTATTTAAAATTCTTTTTTGTAATTTTTAGTTTGTTTATTTGACCCTAACTACCGTAAACTACCACCGGTTCCAAAATTGGGAGAAGAACCGGCGAAACAAACTCAGAGAGGCTTTCTACCTCTTTCTTATGTTATGTTTAATGAAAAGGCTGCGAAACGTCAATAAATAAATAAACTTTCGTGCATTAGCCGTTACCCGCAGTTACCCGTTAAAACTAGTTTTATTTAATTTTGTTATGAGTTTGAAACGTCCTAAAATTTGCATACTAGCATAGGCAGACATGCTATACGGTATGGATGGTATGATGAGGAGCTCGATGGCGCAAGTGGTCAGTGGTGATGGTGTTCGGCTGCGATCGTTGTAACTATGTAACAACTTTCGCAATTGTCGGTCATTGGATGGGTGACCAAAAATTTACTATCTCGAGCTCCTCCGTGCTTCGGAAGGTACGTTAAGCAGTTGGTCCCGGCTGCATATGCGGTCGTTAGCACCCACAAATCCGCATTGGGCCAGCGTGGGTGGGTCACGGCCCAACCGCCTATTATTCCATCCATAGGGAAAGCCTGTGCCCCAGCAGTGGAGACATTAATAGGCTGATGATCATGATGGATGGTATAGCGTATTAATGTTAAATTGTACACTATTGCATTCATAGTCCTACACAATAAAGGCGGATATTAATAACAAATTGTAAACATGTCAGCAGAAATAGTTCTTGACGTACAAATGTACACTATTGCATTCGTAGTCCTTATTCCTACGCAATAAAGGTGATAACAATGACACATCAAAACCATTGTAAGCAAGAGTAGTCCTCGACTTGACTACGATTTGAGACACGCCCATTACATCAGTTCTGCTCACGCAATAAAACATTGACATTGTAACTATATAAGTAATTGTTTCGTTGGTCATTGAGAGTTTCTTGTGCCCATTCTTCACTACAGCTGGTGAAATAACAAAAGGATCTGTAATTGTTTTTATCAATGAAGGTGACGCTTTTGTTAAGCCTCTTTTTTATGAGAATGCAACTCAAACGATCCGTCCAATGTCTTTATTTATAATGACTTGCTTTTAACCCTGTATAAGGGATTTTTGAAGTGGAACTTCTTTACGCACGCTTGACTTGGGGGGTAAGCCGGCGAATGCGTTACGCGTTACGAAAAGTGTGTTCGGGCAGGGCGAACGAGAGTTGAGTGGGGGATATAAGCAAGAGGCAGTGCGCGCGCACATTTTGTTTCTCTCTTTCTCTTATATAATTTATAAAGGACATCGACGAAATCGGCCCTAGCATGCCCAAAAGAATGTCCTTCACTATTATTTTTTTAATTTATAAGCAATTAATCATAGTAAACGGACAATTGTTTAAAAAAATAAAAATTAAAAGTTCTGTTACTAGATACTACAGTCTGTTCATCCTAACTTGTCCTATTTGGTAAATAATCTTGGCACTCCTTTTTATTGAAAATACAGCATTAAAATCAACTGATAACTGGATTCAATAGGTTTCAGTCTATAATAACGATTTATTTTAATAGTTTATTGGCTTCCTTATTCTTTTATTTTTTGTTAAAAAGTTGTGCCAAGATTGTTTACCTTAATAAATGTAATATAGGCGACCATACGTATTTATCAACATAATAACAATAGAACTAGGTACCTTAGTTAATAATACCTGTCACTAGTATTTATATTATATTTATAAGAAGATTATTTCTGAAATTATGTAAAGATAGTTTATACTCCCATCCCATATAATATCTGTTTATTTTTATGAAAATCATAATGATAACCAGGTACATATTTATTACCCATAGTAAACTATAGAAAACGGTAAATGGAAAGACTTTGAACATTTCATTTGAAAAGAAATCTATTATTAGGTATAGGTATCATAGGTGCCAACACTCATAAATCAATATGAATATAAGCATTTATTGTTTTTATTATAAATTGCATTTTATGTTCATTTCATGCCTATTATTTATGTGCTTACATAGAGGTAAACACTTAATCTATTCAGAATATACAAAGTGTACATCTTTTACGATTAAGTATAATAATTATAACCTCCAAATCTAATACATTCTGTAGTAGGCATTTGTATCTCAACAAATGGCTCATAAGAGTTTTTGAATGATTCCGAACACAACTAGCATTTTCTCATTGCTGTGTTCTAATGTTCTTGGGCATTCAATTTATGAGGAACGAGCAATGTCCTTCAATATTTATTTATTCAGTTTAGGCTTTTACACGCACTTGTGAAAGTCGAAAGCTACGCCATCGGTTCGCAAAACTACGGCGGGAGACCTTGTACTGAGAAGAAACGGCAAGAAACTCAGCAATAAACATAAGCATCAGCAAACCATATCCTAAATATAATAGGCCATGCCACAGTGACGCGCAGTTCCGTTTTATTCGGAAAAAATGGGAACATAATCATTTTCCTAAGCTCAAATTTTTAATAACTGACATTCATTGCCACATAACTCATATTTGCCATAATTAAGCCGAATTGTTACCAATTATTCACAACATTATTTTAATTAGAAATAAACGGCGGATTCATACGCGATAGCCCTCATTACGAAAACTATGATAGTTTTCGTGAGCTCGCACTCGTACTAAGGGTACTGATTTTATTGTTTTCGTTTCAATACAAATAAACTGTGTTTAAATTCTATCATTAAATCATTTGCGTCTTCTTAAGTTTTAAGAATATTTGGTTACTTTTCACCAAAATGGACATAGAAACATAATTTACAATTACGAAAACTATGCTCAAACTACTGAAAGTGGTTAGAAATATATTTCACGTCACCATTACTCTTTTTTAATGGAGCAAATATTAATTCGTTCTACATTAACACGATGCGAACACATAAACACATTATTTAACGATGACCCAACGGAATGCTGTAATAGATGTGTTGTTGTTCAAACGAAACTGCCCACTTGAGTGCTGCTACTGCGAAATTGTACTATGAATCTAAAAATGTTTGGATACCCATATATCCTTCTAATAATAGTGAAACGAGACTGATAAATAGACTGAATAGGGATAATGACATACTCATACAGTATAAATACAAATAGTGTTATTTATATTCAGTGTGACTAAACATTAACTTCAATATTAAGGAAGTTAGGGCAGACTCATCTCCGCTGGCAGCACCCGTTCACGAGCATGACGCATGAACCAGCCATCGCTTCGCTCAACCATATTTTAGGGAACGTAACGACCCGCCTCACACGACACCGCCGAAGAGACTATTATGAGAGCATGACTACCCATAACTACCCATACTAACTACAACATATTTACTTAAATTAAGGTCATTTACCTGTAAGACACAACAAACAATTACAAAACAAAGCAAAGGAGAAATCACGACCACGCCGTTTTGTCAATCATATATTCTTAAACAGTCTGATAATCTTATTCAGGTAAGATTCTTCAGGTATCAGGTAGATTATCAAAAAGTATTGTACACGTATTTTTTCTTTTTTCACATAATACAACCATTGCAGAGATATATTGATTTGAAAGAAAAGTCGCATGACGTCACATTTGAGTACACTTTTAAGCGAATATTCACTAAAAAGTGACGTCACGAGCCCCTACTCCCAAACTTTGACGCGCTTTGATAACTTTGTCATTTTTTGGTTGATTGCCCAAAGAAAAAATACGTGTCCATTATTTTTTCATCATCTAACTGACGGACTAAATAGAATTTCGTTTACTGTACCCCGTCATCACCCCTATTGTTCTATTCTTATTGAAAATCTAAAATTAATTTGTTTCTCTTGTCCTTAAAGACCACTTGTAAAGGCAGGCTTCAGGGAAGTGGGTCAAATTTGGTGATTCCATAAATTACATGTTTTTCAATTCTATTAAAAGTTACAGCTAAGAACTTGTAATCTATGAGTTCGGTCCATTGAAACCTCCTTTGCAATGTATTTTCTATTTATTTTATCTCGTTTTAGGCAGCAGCTTGGATAGGAGACATGTGCTCTTGTGAAACTTAATCAAAGTAAAACAATCTGTACAAGAAAAATGTTAAATTGTTGCATTTGTTGCATAAATCGACGCGGATGCTACAGAGTATCTACACTAAGGACTGCATTATAGTGCGGTCCGACAAGGGTCTTAATGAGTATGGCGAAAATTGGAACTAACGCAGCCTTCTTTGTAAACGTCAAATTTTGTATGTCTTTTACGTAAACAGCAGCGCCCTCTCTGAACTATCACTCACATTCATAAATATCTTTGTCGCAGTCTACTCAATTTTGGTTTCAAATCGAAATCGCCAAAGTTGAGGCATACGGGGAGGCTAAAGGTGTACTCCGTAATAATACCAGTATAGTGGCCAGTGCTAATGACGACATGGATTGACGCTATACTGGTGAATTGTTCCGAAATATATTGGCCAGTGCACTGCTGTCATAAATCGACGAAATATTAAAAATAGTGCGAATAAAGAAGATTTTTTATTCACCTCATCAATTAAAAGGAATTCTTTTTGTTCGGATGCCATTATTAAAAGAAAAAATTTAAAGAAATTAAATAAAAAAGAAATAAAATTCGAATGCATCTCACTCACGCACGCTCGTTCATACGTCATATTCGTTTTCCCGGTAAAAATATGGTAGCATAACAGTACAATACGGCGTCGGATTCGTGACGTCATTACCACTGGCCAGTATACTGATGTACATTTCAGAATACACCCTAAGGCGTGCTCTTTAGGTGCTATATATATACATATATATATTTTAAATAAATAAATATTTCCAACACTCACACCAATTAGCCTAGCCCCAAAGTAAGCTCTGTAAGGCTAGTGTTATAGGATACTAGGGTAACTGATAGAATACATATATTGTACATATGTAAGTATATATATAGAAATACATATTAAACATCCATGACTGGAGTACAAATGCTCGTATTCATCACACAAACATCTGCCCCCACCGGGATTCGAACCCGGGACCTCTCGAGTCGCCTACACCATGAAACCCGGCGTATAAACCACTCGGCCACGGAGGTCGTCAAAATATAGACAGGGACTAACATTGTTTTCACTAAAGCATTCGATTCTGTCCAACCCAGGTCATCCACATCACCGGCCACATGCTGACGCCTCAAGTCAAAGAAGAGAAGAACAACAATAACAAAGAGAAAACCGACATGGAAGACAAGAAAATTGATAGAAGCGGCTCGTTGATAGCCGTAGGGCGACCCATCCCGCATCCCGCTAATATTGACACGCCGCTCGATGCCAAGACTTTCCTCACCAGACACGCGCTTGACATGAAGTTCACTTATACCTACACTGATGCGTGAGTAACTTTTTGATGTGTAACATCTTTCCTCTCGCTTTCGTGCAATTTGTGGGAGTGATTCTTAGAATAAAACAAAAAGGGTAGATACGGTACGCTCATACTTGCATCAAACAAAAACTGAACCCACGGCAGCGCGAACGGGACGGCGAGATCCGCGTCACTGCATTACCGACCCGAACGAACAGCACGTTAAGTTTCAACGGCAGCGCGAACGAGACGGCGAGATCCGCGTCACTGCATTACCGACCAATCACGCGACCAGTACTCGACGTCACTACCGAATAAGATTCAAAACAAACAGCAATTTTTATGAAAAAATGTATTTTATAGTACTTACGAATGAAAAGTGATGCCGTGGGTTTTATATTTAGTTCTTGAGCAAATTGAGCACTTTTTAAAAACACACTTAGGCATTGTTTTAGTATATAAACACAAAATATTAGCAATATTTATTTTTAGCGTTCACATGTACGTCGTTTGCATGTTAAGTTGTGACTAAAGCGATTAGGGTCGTGGACCACAATTGGTGCGGATCTCTTTTGTTAGGCTAGTGCCGCATCTACCCTTTTTGTTTTATTCTAAGGAGTGATTACGTGAAATGGTGCGAAAGTGTGTAACAGGAAGTTTGGGAAGCGCGCGCTATTTGATTTGATTTTAGAGCATAATGTTCAAATGCCTTTTCCTTTTGTAGTAGGTTTTATTTCTTTTTTTACTACTATAAGGTGAGGTTTCACATGTTACACATCATACGCGACTACTGTAAGGCTCGCTCGTTTTTATTTTTTTAACTAACGGACATAACGCTTGCTAAGTCTACTCAACGAACAAACACAATGAATACAAGACAAAACCCAAGAAAAGAAAAGATGCAATTTCTAAGGTAAACATGCAAAATTATCGTCATGCGTTACGACCATTTCAATAGACCTTTGTAACATTGGTTTTTCTGACAGTTCTGTGCAAAGACTGCCTTGAGAAAGACCCAAAGTTCTACTGGAATTAAGAGACGTTTCAACACTCACAACTTGTCACATGACAAGTTCACAGACACACTATTAGAAGCCTGTAGCAAATTCATAGACTTTTAGACTTCCTGGAAGAGCTGGAAGCTGTACTGATGTCATGCCTTGACCAAAATCGGCACCAAATGTCGAGTTGCGGAAAAAGCCGGTGCAAATACAAAACTTTGAATTCTGCTATTCCTTACTGAAGGACGCTTCCAAATGGGGAATGGGAAATAGGACTGAAGTTGTTGAGGAAAAACTTTGTTCATATAAATTCTTAATTGAGATTTTTGATCATTGGAACTTTTACTAACAGTACTCACATTCCTAATTTAAAATACTTAGACCCCAGGGTTCTGAATGCTATTTTAGAACAGAACAAAGTTGCACTTTTCAATAAGATATGATACTAGCAAACCAGTGAACCAAATGTTCACCAAAACCTGATTTCTCGAAAACCGGAAGTGCTACGTTACTCAAATCCGGTTTGTAGTCTTATCAGACTATTCTTAACTTATAACTTAAATATTCTCTTTATCTATATCTCTTACGGTTTGGCCGCTGAAACAGCACCACAGACGGACGGACGGACTTGTCTAATAGATAAGAGATTAAGTACTTTTCCTAAACCAGAAAGGTGGTAATAGCATGGTTAGCGATGTAACGAAGAAATGTGTCGAATCTACTTTGACCTAATTTAAATTACATTAGTTGAATTTCTTGAGTGATGGAGTAATACCGATTCCAACTGACTGATATGACGTGAACATGACCTCTATTGTTCTAGAAAATCAACAAGTCAAAGCTTCATATTTTTAGATTAGAATAGTTTCAGATTAAATAGGTCACGACGGGAAAATTTTGAAAGAATGACGTTTGACCTAGAACAAAATAGATTTCACATTGTACGCGATACTAAATTCTGCTTTGTAAACACTGAGTGTCCTCTCCCAGGTAGATTTATAGCACATATGAACTATCACAAATGTTTTTCAATATCCTGGACAAATTATAATATAATTAATAAGCGTCTACGTTCTTTTTTATTTTATAAATAGGTCCGACAGATGACTTCACTTTACCTGATGTTAAATGACGGTGGAGTGTAATGATTTAAGATAGAGTGTGTGCGGAAAGAGAATGGGCGTGGCGAAAAACGGAACTAACATTAAGATTTTTATTTGGCAATCAAACCCAGCAAGCTGTAAAACGTCAAGATTTTGTTTGTTGTTGTGATTTCTTGCCATTTTTTGTATTTAATCATGTCTAAAAGGGGTAAAACCTTACAAATACAGTAGAAAAGCACTACAGCGCCCTCCAATCTAAATCCCATTCTCTTTCCGCACAGACTCTATGAGTGTAGTGATGCAAAGATAGCTGGTACAGCAGTTTTACCTGCCACACCAACCATCCTCACCCTGCCGACCTGCATATTGCTTCTTCACGCCTCTTTTAAAACATACCGGGTTATAGGAAGAAGAACACTTGAGCTGGCAAAGCATTCCATTTACGGATAGTGCGACAAAGGAATGAGTCACTTAATTTCTTTGTTCGCGTGGGTAAACTGGCCACAGTAAGTCGGTGACAACGTAGGCCAGCGCGTGTGGTCCTCTGAAGGAAAGGGGAAGATGTGTTTATAGTAGAATAACTCAGTGGTATAGACGATAGAACCTGCTTAATGACCCCTCATCACAGAGTTATTGAACTTATTGAAGAGGCTCCAGGTGTTTAGTCACCTCAGTTCTTTATAAGACTAACTATAAAACTTTTTAAAAAAATCACGAGGGATATAGAATCCAAAGCACGAACCCATGTTCATAATGTTGCCTGTTGCCAAAAGATGGCGTTGTAACGAAATGTTGTTGCTTAGTCAATGTACGGCCGAATTGCAGAGTTCTGTCTCGGCAAACGCCGCCACAGAAACGAGTTGTATCAAAACTGGTCGTGTTATATCAACAAAAATATCACCTTCAAGTGTGTTGTAGGTTAAACATGATGTGGTTTCGCGGCTTTGTACACAGTGACGGCCAGTTCGGAAGTGTTATCTTGTACGGTTCATTTGTTGAGTGTTGTGTTTTGTGAATAATGTGTCCAATACATAAAGTGAGTTTGTGTGAGGAATGTCTAAGGAAAATATCATCGTATTTTTATCCTAAGGGAATGGCGGGCGATTCAAACCCTAGTGTGAGTGACCTCCTAAAACCTTTTTCAACTACTCTTGATACTTTGTATAACTCAGAATATATGTGGAATATTATCATTGTTATGATCAGCAGATAATATTATGTCCAACTAATCATGAATACAGTTAGAAGCCATAGGTCATTCAAGGTTAAGCATGCAGGTAAACATAACCTAAGCACGGCTAGGTCACTTTGGGAATGACCTTTGAAGTCAAAAATGATTTCATTATATTCCGGTTCAAATAAATTACATATAGCTGTCTTAATATTATACAGCATTGCTTGAATGGAATGGAATATTGAAAGATATTTAATAGGTATCATTTGTTTTCCTACAAAATGTCAACTGCCTTTTGAAATATTTGTATGCACTTTGATTTATTAGAAACTTGAAACAAGGTGTGGCGCCTTTTTAAGTATATTAATGCTATTTTAAATAAATATGGAGTTTACGTTCTTTAAAAAATAATGATTGAATGTTGTTAAATTAAATATATTCTCAAAAAATATGCAATTAAATAATTTCACAACATATTCTTTGCCCTTGGTTTCTTCTTCATTCTTTAAGGTTGTAAATCAATTGGAAAATTTATGGAAACTCAGCCATGCTGATGTTTTACAACTTAAGGGCTTAAAGTTCGTTTTAAATCAGTTGGATCACTAGGTTCTGTACTCATACTCAGTCATGCTTGGAAGGAAAGGGGGTGATTAAACTTTAAGTCATCATCATCACCATCATCAGGCAAGTCTTGTAAGAATCGGATTGGCGTGCCTTACGTAGCAATGAGAAGCTCGACAGTAATTTTCGGTCACCCATCCGATGACTAACCATTTCGAAAGTTGCTTGACTTCCACGATCACAAATTAAATACACATCGAGCTCCGTTTACTTTGAGTACATTTAAATTTTATTATGTTATGCCTTCTTTTAGTTTACACTCAACAGTGGGCGTTGTATGGTTTATGATGCTTAGACTAAATTATGCCTATCTTTTGTTACAGATTACTGAATACGCTGGGTTTCGAGCCCGAGGAGTTGGTAGGCAAGTCCCTATACGACTACCACCACGCGGCTGACAGCGCAGGCCTGGTACAGCAGTTCAAATCACGTAAGTTGTAGAATTTAGCGTTTAATTGTGATTCAAACTACAAACGATTGTGAAATCTGTAACGAGCGTTTCTATGCGCGGATTTAACGCTAACTTAATATCCGCCATTAAGTGTTAACTGAGTGTTTACGGATTTTATTTGAAAGGTCTATTAGCACTGGGAAATCTAGTCGAATTCCTTGATCTCAATTCGTATTAATTTAGTAATCGTCTCGCGTCTCATTTTGCTTGAAAGGTCTTAGGTCTAATTTCGACTAGGAAATATCTACTGCTTTCATTTACTTATTATATTCATGTAGAAAAATCAAAACGAAATAACAGTGGGCTCCGTTCTAAATTTACTTTGCACAGCGCCCTCTATCGGATTGCTCGCTAATTACTTTATACAACGTTTAATGCTTTGTGGCGCTTTCGTTTACGGCGCTGTCACATAGATGGCAGCACACGTCCTTTCTGTCTGCCAATCCCCAGACCAGACGTATTATGAAGCTGATTTGCCACTATGTAATTGTTACAATCTAAATTATTCATATAATTTTTTTTTTATTCGCTGCGTAATAAGTCTTTATCTCAATTCCCTTGGCTGGGATCATCGGGGTATTAATAGTTTAGAAACTATTTTTAATTTCTTGGCTTGCCGCCACTCTCGCTTTCCGAATGTAACAAAATATATCTGCCTTCCCTACATAATGCTAGTGTCTCGTACACATATGTTAATTATCCATCACGGCTAATGGCTATTACTTGTAACTTGTTAATGATAGTTGTTATCCATACCATAAATTATGTAAAAGCAACAAATATTCCAGTTGTACCAGCAAATCTTACATGACTTTGACTACATTTAAAATAGTATGACGAACGAGGTACTCACTCTTAATTTTATTGATTGAATGAATGAATGATTTATTTATTTTTCTCACAGGCACAAAGTAACATTATAATTAGAAAAGGGTATTGATTTACAATAACGGTAAAATAATGCAGTTCTTTGAGAGAGCTGGAGATTGAACTAGGTTACAAAACCTGTGTTTCGACCCTCAGGCTCAAAACCTCTTAAAACCCGTTTGCTTGCTAAAGATTCTTTTGCATAATACATTTTTTATCGTGATCTACCCTAGATTATAAGCGAGAGTTCAATATGTAAAAGTTACATTGAATGTTAAAGATCCATAGTGAATTAATAACAAAAATTGCAGATTTTAGCTACACGAAACATATTTATGGGTAAAGAATATTTATTTCTCATTAAAAACCTTGCATACATAAGCTGGCTGGCATTAAACGGCACAACCGAATATGTGTAGATGAATATTCGGCAGTAATTATTACAGGTCGGTTTTGTTGTTCGACAAATACAGCCGAACCGACTATGTCAATTTGATTATGATGCAGCGATCCTTACAGTAACTTTTAGAGTTGACGACCTCCATGGCCGAGTGGTTTATATGCCGGGTTTCATTGTGTCGCCGACTCGAGAGGTCCCGGGTTCGAATCCCGGTGGGGGCAGATGTTTGTGTGATGAATACGAGCATTTGTACTCCAGTCATGGATGTTTAATATGTATTTCTATATAAATATACTTATATATGTACAGTATTTATGTATTGTATCCGTTACCCTAGTATCCCATAACACAAGCCTTACAGTGCTTACTTTGGGGCTAGACTAATTGGTGTGAGTGTTGGTAATATTTATTTATAACTAACAAAAAATCTATTAATTTTGAGTAAAGCATATCAAAGCAAATAGGAGCTTAGGCGGAATTAACTGTAATTAAAATATCTTTCGGCCAATTAAGATTTAGCGATTGTTATTTAATGTAAGTGGATAAAAAAACTTGCTCATTTAAATAATAGGTATACATACAATAGGGTATTTGACAGTGTTAAAAATAAAGTGTCAATTGTTAGCATCTGTGTTTAGAATGAATATTGGCAGGGGTTTTAACTATTTTTATAAAAAAATATTCATAATTTTACTAAAAACTAACGATAATAGTTTTCTTATCTATTGTCACGTGACCCAAAACGCTTGGAATTGGTGGAGCCTAAAATGAAGGCACACGCAAGTAAATTTCCGGTTAAAGTGACATTACATTGTATCGTTTGACGTTTTAATAACAGTCGAGTGACGTCACACACTAATAAGACGCCATATTGTCCAGAGAAACGATTTCGCGGCAACTTGAAAATGGAGTTTTTGATATGGTTATTTTTACTGAAATACACAACAGAATGATGAATATCCACTTTTTACGGACTCCATAAACATTAGTCAATAACGTGAGATCGTTTTCTAAAACTTGTCAAATACCCTATTATGGCGCGATTTCACTTGGTCGGTAGCCCGAATACAAATGCCAACGGAATTCGGGTAAACGAATAAGTGTAAATGAAAGGACGGAGTCGAGTATGCTCGTATTCAGCTTAGATTAAAACAAAAAGGGTAGATACGGTACGCTCATACTTACATCAAACAAAAACTGATCCCACGGCAGCGCGAACGAGACGGCGAGATCCGCGTCACTGCACTACCGACCTATCACGCGACCAGTACTCGACGTCACTACCGAATAAGATTCAAAACTAACAGCAATTTTTATGGAAAAATATATTTTATAGTACTTCGAATGAAAAGTGATGCCGTGGGTTTTATTTTTAGTTCTTGAGCAATTTGAGCACTTTTTAAATACACAATTAGGCATTGTTTTATCATATAAACACAAAATATTAGCAATATTTCTTTTTGGCTTCACATGTACGTCGTTTGCATGTCAAGTTGTGACTAAAGCGATTAGGGTTGTGGACCACAATTCATGCGGATCACTTTTGTGAGGCTAGTGCCGTATCTACCCATTTTGCTTTAATCTAAGGTATTCGGGTAGTTTTCGTTTTGGTCACCCGACACCAGCTTCCAGCCCTTATTCCAGTGTCAATATTACTTTGGGTGTCCGAATGCGAGTAATGTCTCGTGCACCTGAATTCGGGCTAACCTTAGATTAAAATAAAAAGGGTAGATACGGCACTAGCCTCACAAAAGTGATCCGCATAAATTGTGGTCCACGACCCTAATCGCTTTAGTCACAACTTGACATGCAAACGACGTTCATATGAACGCCAAAAAGAAATATTACTAATATTTTGTGTTTATATGATAAAACAATGCCTAAGTGTGTTTTTAAAAATTGCTCAAGAACTAAAAATAAAACCCACGGCATCACTTTTCATTCGTAAGTACTATAAAATATATTTTTTCATAAAAAATGCTGTTTGTTTTGAATCTTATTCGGTAGTGACGTCGAGTACTGGTCGCGTGATTGGTCGGTAGCACAGAACACAGAAAGAGGTTAGAATGGTCTTGTGGGCGGGGCAGGCGCGTCACAGTTATGAGCAAATGCTCATAACTTGACCGTAACGTCCGATCACGTCGTTTAGTTGCTCGCGAACGCTCAGTGAGAGAGTATTTTGATTACCGCTTAAAACATGCCTTCGTGTGCTGTTATTACTTGCAAAGTAAGGAGTCAATCATCAAATCTACCTAAAGCAGGAATTTCTTTTCATCGGTAAGTATAAAACTTCTTAGTTAGACTGATATTATAGCAAAAAATCGAGAAATATTAATTAAACGATAAATCACATATATATTTCCACAAAAATATTCATTGCTGACAAAGTACGCTCGCTATTTTTTCTACGACATTCAAAACACGAAATGTAGTACGATCAAGCAAGAATGACGCGTGGATCACGGAGCGCTGCACGTGGCCGCACGCAGTACAAGGTCATTGCACCTACTTTAGTGGTGTCTTGCGTCGTACATTTTACATTTTCGATAGATTTTATCGACTGAATTTTTGCACCTAATAATGGAATTAAAGTAACTTTTAGAAATAAATAAAAGCTGATTGTAAATGTTTATCATACTTAATATTATAAAGGCGTTTGTGTGTGTGTATGTTTGTTACTTCTTCACGTCTAAACGGCTGGAGCGATTTTAATAAAAGGACATTGTTCTGCGTCCATACATTGTTAGCCTAAGAACCAACAATCATGAAATATTATTTTCTAGATTCGAAATTGCAAGTAAATGACTGTAAAAACATAGATTATTGACGGTCACTTCTGAGAACTTAAATTATCAGGAAAACTAAATATTTTTTGAGGTTATGTTTAATATTAAATAAAACATGTCAACCTATGAACTTAGTATGCACTCAGTATGAATTGAATTAATATTACAACTAATTCATTTTTATTTGGTGTGATTTTAAATAATAACTATTGGGAAAAACTTGGTTAGGTAGGAATCATGAATAAAATAAAAACTGTAGTTTTGCTTCTTATTTTTTGACTATTTTTCACAAATGTATCATATTGTATATTGTATTTATTTGTATATCACATGTTTATTGTGTAAATATGCAGCGTGAATGTGTATCAGGTGTTCTTGAATAATTTGGCAGTATGATCCTCTCAGGATGTTGTGGTACAGGTTCTCTAGGACTTGGTAATAAGGTGCCTTGCTCTTTGGTAACATCGATGGCATATTAGATATCCGAAATAGTTAAATTATAGGAAAAACAATCGCATATAAAGACACAGAACAGGTAATCCGAAACGAGAATGCACGAATGCCACAGATAACTACAAATGCAAACTGCCTGCACCTCAAACACAGAGTATCGAGTTTTATGCCGGCCCTTCACTTGACAACAGTCTGTCTTGTCATGCTTAATAAGGAATAAAAAGCACAGACTGATGTCAAGTTTTCAAAAAGCAAACACGAATAGACAAGTGAAATGCCGGCATTAAGAAGAAAGGGTGTTTTGTTTGCAGCGCTGTCATAGATTATACACATAAAATGGTAGTCACAGATTTTTTTTTAATTTTTTAATATAGCTTACTTTACTGGAAGTGTCCGTCACAATGTAAATACTGATAATTATCGCAAAAAATATACTAAGAATTATCGTAAATGCCAAATTGGTGTGCCAAATT